AGGAATGTTGGGAAAGCCAAATCCCCTTCATCCATTTTTTTTTAAATCCTTTAACACAATTTAAAGGAAAATGATTTTTTGCGTTGTTTTTGTTGAGTTGTTTAACAGGAAATACCAATTGATTGGATATTGGGAGCTTAGTCCTTCATAGTCTAAGTTGTGGACGTGTTTTCTTAAAAAATGATGTGTTCCCCTTTAAATAATGTTTTGAAAATGGTATGAGTGAGTCATTTCACACTTGATGTTGAATGGCATTGTCTATGTTCTCGGAACTTGGATATTAGGTTGACATGTAAGTTAAGAGTGGTCACTTAGAGTGCACCTCGACCTAGTACTGGAAAGATGCATGGTATATATCTTCGAGATAGACATTGGGCTAAATCTAGAGGGCTTGGTTATGTAAACCATTGTCATGGTAGGTTCATACTCAACCAATGATACTAGACTGTTCAAGTTTATATATATAATACTTTAATGATTAAAATTGTTACTGTCCAATAAGATTGATTCAAATAAACTACTCGATGTAGGAAATCTCCATTATTGTTAATGTTTGACAACACATGGTGCAAATTGGCATGTAGTTGTAAGGTGAGCAAGTTGTGGCATACAATGTTGTGTTGCAATGTGATTGTGCATGGACCTTTGTTGTGAGCATTAAGACTCGTTTTGATGCATGATTTATTACACTACCATTTCTTGATATCTCATGGCTTTTATATCAAGCTTACCTAGTTGTTTTTGTTGTGTTCATTGCAATATCATATTTTTAACATGGGAGCAGACCCAATATAACTTGTTGGAGAGTAGTTGGGAGTGTTGTAGGCCATCACGAAGTGGTTAGAGCTGGAGATTGTTAGTCTCTTGGATGGGATTTTATAGATGTACACTAATGTAGAAAAGGCTTTTTACATAGGTTAAAATGGGCATTTTACATCAATTTTATGACTGCATAAACTAGTGAAAAAAATGCTAGGAATATAAAATAGGTTAAATGATAACCAATTTTATATCTAAAGTAGTGGTAGAATTGCAATCATGTCAAAATACTTTTAAATTGATTAAAGTAAAAAAGATTTCGAAAACACTTTTAAAATTGGGTATATAAAAACCCAATTTTAAAAGGCCTGTTTAGAGGTCATTTTCTAAATTAATTATTTAATTGGGCTTACAAAATTAATTAACTAAATAATTGGTTTTATATGCCCACTATAAATTAGTTGTATAACAACTGATTTCATGATTTAGAAATATGTTATATAACAACTAATTTAGAAAGGTAGTTTAGAAAACTAGTTCATTCCCATCACGAGCCATTTTATTGTGCCCACCACACCATTACTCTTTCTCATCTCTTGTGACATCACATTCTTTCGTTGTCCACCCTCGTGCCACCACACCATTGTTTGTGTCGCCTTTCGTTGTGCCCTTCATTCGTGTGTTCTTCATTATGCACTTAAAGAGGCAATCACCAATGAAGGTTCATTGAGTGTTTTACTACAGAAAAGGTTACCTATACGTTGGATTAAGGTGCAATGTCAATAAGTGAATGGAGTTGTCAAGGAGAAAAGGGTTACCGTTGGATCTATAACATCCCAAACACACCATTGAATCTATAATATCTCTTGCAAGTCAATTACTAGAACCAGACTCTCACTTAAGGTTACAATTCACAATCCATGTCTAGCACCAATGACAAGGTTGATTTTGATGAGAGTAATATTGATATGGATCAAAGAGTATAATAAAAGGCTCAAAAAGCCCATGAAGTATTACAATAAGACAATAGGGAAAATGAGTCAAATGATTCTAGAATCACTTTGTTATAGAAAAGTTGTTATTTGTTCTTTTGTTTTGTCATTGTTGCAATTAGGCATATTCCTTCTTATTAGGCATAAAATAATTATATCTTTTCCTTTTCCTATAACTGAATTATTTAAGTTAGTTACAGAATAATTTCTGTTTAGGTTACAATAAGAGTTTGTTTAGATTTTATTTTTTGTTTCAACAGCTTCGATATTTTGTATATATACTTATCTGTAGTTCCCTTTCTAGAGTGTGTGAATTGATCAATGGAAAGAAATGTTTTCTTCTCAATCACTATTATGGTATCATCGCTTGGAATGATCTTTCTCTTCCACGTAACACTCTGTTTCTTCGTTTTAAAACTCACATTATTTTGAAATCCTTGATCAATCATGACAAATTCTGATGAAAATTCTTCGAACCATTCTCTCCGATCATCTTGTAAACCCTGCTAATCCATTTTTTCTTCATCCTGGAGAAAACCTCGCCCTCGTTTTGGTGACTTCGCTACTTTTTGAAAACAACTTTCAAACATGGAAACACGACATGCTCGTAGCTCTGGAAACCAAGAACAAAGACCAGTTCATGCTTGGAACCCTTGCATGTCCAGATTCAACTGATCCTCTTCAAGAAGTATGGTGCCGATGCAACAAGATGGTGATTTCATGGCTTACAAGATCCATAACTCCTTCGATTAAACAATCTGTCATGTGGATGGAATCTGCATCTGAGATCTGGCTTGATTTATGTGATTGCTTTTCCCATGGTGATAAATTTTGAATTGTAGACCTTCAAGAAGAATTGCAAAACTGCAAACAAGGTGATCAAATTGTTTCTCAATATTACACGCGTTTACAAATTCTTTGGAAAGAACTCTCAATGTATCGTACAGTTCTCACTTGTAAATGTTCCCCTATTTGTTCTTGTGGCATTTTTGCAAGGACTAAATGATGAATTTGCACAACTTAGATCTCAGGTTATGCTCATGGAGCCTATGCCCGGTCTTACTCGCACTTTTTCACTAGTTCTTCAACAAGAAAGAGAATTTGGAAATTGTTACCCGCAAACACCTCCGAAATCTGCTGCTCTTGCCAGTATTCAAAATGAACCCATAAAGAAATTTAATTCTGGAAGAGGTGGTTTCTCTAATGGTCGTGGTGGTGATAAGTTTGGTAGAGGTTCTAGCAGAAACACAAAATGGTGTTCTAAGTGCAAAAAGACAAATCATATTATTGAAACATGCTTCAAAATATATGGTTTCCCTGCTGGTTACAAGACTAATAGCAAAGATTCATCAGCTTCTTCAACTCCATCTGCTAATATAGCTGATTCTAATCCATTTGTAATTCAAGAAAGTCCCGCCTTGGAGGTTGGTTCATCTCAGAACAACTTTGGTTTCTTTAAAGAGCAATGTGAAGCACTCTTGGCTCTCCTGCAGCAGTCCAAAGATTCCTCTCCCAATATGACTCATGCACATCATTGCTCTGTGAATTCCACAGGTATTAATTCTTTTCCACCTTCATGGATTATAGATAGTGGTGCCACAGACCATATTTGCCCTTCTAAATCTTATTTTACTACTTTTCATTCCATTAAGCCTATCTCTATTCGATTGCCAAATGGCAGTACTATTATTGCTAATCATTCAGGAACTATTCACCTTGGTAACTTAGTGTTACATAATTCTTTGTATGTTCCAGATTTTGCTATGCATCTAATTTCAATTCCTAAACTTCTGTCTACTCTTAATTGTTTTGTTCTATTTTGTCCCCTTAATTGTTTTATTGTGCAGAACCCAACCTTCAAGATGATTGGAGTAGCTAAGCAGATTCAAGGGCTATTTCATCTATTGCAACCTAATACCTTAGCTAGTCTTTTTGCTGAAACTACTGATTGTACTTTACATCATAAAAATAATGTGAACGTTAGCACTATTGAGAATAATTCCTTATGGCATATAAAATTAGGACATCCCTCTAATAAAATTGTTCAAGTTCTTTCTTCTTAGTATGATTACCTATCTTTTTATCCTATTCAGGCATGTGATATATGCTCTTTTGCAAAATAGAAGAAGCTATCTTTTCCAAATAGTGCTACTCAAACACAAAATTTCTTTGAGCTTATTCATGTTGATATATGGGGACCTTTGGTTGTTTCCTCTATTGATGGTTACAAATACTTCTTAACAATTGTTGATGACTATAGTAGATTCACATGGATTCATTTATTAAAATCTAAAATGGAAGTCAGAAACCTTTTACAAAATTTTATTTTACTTATTGAAAATCAATTTGATTGCAAACTAAAAAGATTAAGATCTGATAATGGAAAAGAGTTATTTCTCACTGATTTTTACGATACTAAAGGTATACTACATGAGACCACTTGTATAGAAACACCTCAACAAAATGGAATTGTTGAGAGAAAGCATCAACATCTTTTAGATGTGAGTAGATCTTTACTATTTCAATCCAAAATCCCTAACATTTTCTGGTCTTTTGTTATGAAGCATGTTGTACATCTAATCAATAGATTGCCTACACCATTTTTAAAACTAAAATCTCCTTATGAAATGGTTTTTAATATGAAACCTGACCTTTCCATTCTAAAAGTCTTTGGTTGCCTTGCTTTTGCTTCAACCCTTACTACCGGAAGAACAAAATTAGCTCCTCGGGCATCAAAGTGCATTTTTCTTGGTTACAAAACTGGTACCAAAGGATATGTACTTTTTAATCTCTCTTCAAAATCTATTTCAATTTTTAGGAATGTAGTTTTTCATGAAACTATTTTTCCTTATGTTTCTGTTTCTAAAAAGGATACTAGTTTTGATACCACAATTCTAATGACACTAATCTAACATAATATGAATTATATCCTAATATTGACTCATCTGTCTTAGAATCTCCTCTTGAGGTACCTCAATCAATTTCAGTAGATGCAGATTCTGAAAATCTAGTTGCAAAAAAGGGTTTCTTTAAGGACAAATACTAGACCTGGGTATTTGGATCAATATCATTGTTATACTCATGATTCTTCTAACACTACTTGCAACATCTCTTATCCTTTTACATTTATATATGTCATATGCTAATTGTTCTTCTGACCACATCTCTTTTTGTCATTCTATTTTTGCATATATTGAGCCTTCTAGTTTCAAACAAGCAAGTCAACATGACTGTTGGAGGCAGGCTATGATGACTGAACTTCAGGCTTTAGAGAGAAACCAAACTTGGACTTTGATGAAGCTTCTTCTAGGAAAGCACACTATTGGATGCAAATGGGTTTATAGGATCAAACATAAGGCAAATGACTCCATAAAGAGATACAAGGCTCGGTTGGTTGCTAAGGGCTTTACACAACAAGAAGGGGTTGATTATTTTGAAACCTTTTCCCCTGTAGCCAAGTTCACTACAGTGAGATTTCTTATTGCCTTAGCATCAACACAAAACTGGTTTCTGCATCAATTAGATGTAGATAATGCCTTTCTACATGGTGATTTGGAGGAAGAAGTATACATGCGACCTCCTCAAGGTTTACACTTACCACAGCCTAATCTTGTTTTCAAATTGTAGAAATCTCTCTACGAATTAAAGCAAGCCAGTAGAAATTGGAATCGAAAACTTACTTCAGAATTACTATTCATGAATTATAAACAAAGTTCTGCTGACCATTCCTTATTCATCAAAATTCAAGAGAAACAATTTTTCAGAAATCACTAAGGTTAAACAGCATCTGCACAAGAAATTTCATATCAAGGATCTAGGACCTTTGAAATTATTTTTTAGGCTTGGAGGTTGCTCGTTTCAAAAGAGGATTGGTTCTTAATCAACGAAAATATTGTTTAGAATTAATTGATGAAGTTAGCCTTCTTGGCTACAAACCTGCTTCTACTCCAGCAGATCCCGCTACTAAACTTTATGTAGATCATGGAACCCCTTTAGAAGATCCTTCTTCCTTTAAAAGACTTATCGGTAAACTGATTTATCTTACAAACACTCGTCCAAATATTAGTTTTGCAGTTCAACATTTAAGTCAATTTTTTGCTTGTCCAAGAGAACCACATATGCAAGCTGCCATGCGAATCATTAGATATTTGAAGAGTGCACCAGGCACTGGTTTATTTTACCCTGCCTTTAATTCTCTTCGAATTCAAGCCTTTTCTGACTCAGATTGGGCTACATGTACAACCACTCGCAGATCAATAACTGGTTATTGTGTTTTTCTAGGAAAAGCTCTCATTTCTTGGAAGTCTAAGAAGCAGTCTACTGTTTCCAGATCATCTTTAGAGGCAGAATATCGCGCCTTAGCTTTTGTTACATGTGAACTACAATGGTTAAAGTATCTTTGCAGTGATCTTCATTTGAGAATCCTACACCTTTTACCACATTTTGTGAATCTGCCATCCAGATAGCTAAGAATCCAACATTTCATGAGCGAACCAAACACATTGAAGTTGATTGTCATTTCATCCGTATAAAGCTTCAAGAAGGATTACTACACTTAATTCATGTTTCCTCTGCAAAAATTAGCTTGCTGATGCATTCACTAAATCACTCTATCCCAAACCATTTCAACATGTTATCTCCAAGTTGAGTATCATTAACATTCATCGCCCACCTTGAGAAGGGGTATTAGGCATAAAATAACTATCTTTTCCTTTTCCTATAACTGAATTCTTTAAGTTAGTTACAGAATAATTTCTATTTAGGTTACAATAAGAGTTTGTTTAGATTTTATTTTCTGTTTCAACAGCTTCAATATTTTGTATATATACTTTTTGCAGTTCCCTTTCCATAGTGTGTGAATTGATCAATGGAAAGAAATGTTTTCTTCTCAATCACTGGAAAAGAAATATTTTCTTCTCAATCACTGTTACTTCTCTATGTTATTATATATAGATATGGTATTACGTAAGAAATGAGAGATAAAGAATATACGCACTCTTATTTCTTAAGACATTTGTTTTATCCTGTGATTTAGAGTATTCTCGTTCTTAACATTAGGTAAATCGTATTTGTTACATTTTTTTAACCCTAGCACTTGGTCTAAGTGGGTCATTATTTATAACTCTATTTATTTCATGTAATATCAATAATTTTTGTTTTGTATTAATATAATATAAATGCAAGTTTATTCAGAAATTAAAAAAAATGTTTAAGTTTATGGACATTGGAAGGCGTACAAACACGGAACACAATTGAACTAAATTAAATGACGAGGGAAAAGGGAAACAAAACATTAGTTTGGAGTGAAAAGTATTTTTCACTTAAACTTATTTAGATGACTCGAAGGTGTTGGCCGCTTCAAGTTGAATATGTTTTAATTTGTATCTTTCCCTTTTCAAAATAAAGAAACTTACTTAGGTAAATTATTAAGCATAAAACTTCATTTTGTTCCTTGAGAGATTACGGATGGATCACATTTAGAATGCAACATTATTTAAAAAAAAACTGATTAATTCTTAAAAGATGAAAATCAATCTTTCTATCCTTAATTAATGTTGATGACTGGATGTTGATAAATGTAATTCTTCAAAAAAAAAAAGTGATGTAAATAATTATAAAAAAAAAGTAATGTCCATTTATCTTAGAATTTTGATAAATGTCATATAGAATTAATTTTGATAAAATTGATTTTAAACTGTTGAATACAATGAAAATGTATTCCTTCCAAAAATAATAAAATTTGTGTTTAAAGTAATTCTAACCATAAATTTTACATTAACACAGAGTTTAATGATGATACATTATCGTCGTAAAGAATTTTACACAATCAATAAAAGCATTAAAAATTATATAACTTTTAAGATAATTATTATAAAAATTAACAAATTTATTATTTATAATAGATTGTGATTAAATGGTCATGTACCATTAAACCCCAAAACATATACAAACTACAACAAAATGTGTTTTTAGCCACATTAGAAAAATATTATTAAATTATGAGTAAATATTGTTAATTTTGCAACATTTTATCAAATGTAAGATAAAGCCTATGTTGCTAAAGATTATTAACATTATTTTACATATTAATGACAACATTTTTAAAAATGCTACCAAAGTGACATTTTGTAACATTTAATAATGTTGCTAGGTTTTTAAACTTTATAAAATGATAATTAGATTATACTATCACTTATACTTATGACTTTTTTCTACAAGTCCTTAGATTTAAGATATCCTAATTTTTTTTAAAGAAAAATAGAAAATATCATAAGTTAATCACCATCAAATCTAAATCATCTATCAAAATTCATTTATCTTAAATTTTACTATATAGTTATATATATCATTCTTTTACTCGATGTAGACCTTCAATTTTGGAAAACAATTATATATAAGAAAATTATACATTTTATATATTATTCTTTTCCTTGAAGTAGAACTAAATTTTGAAATATAATTATAAAGAACAACATTAAGATAAAAAAAAATGTTACTTTATCTATAATAACATTTTCTAAAATAAATGTTACAATAACCTATTAATTTAATTCATAATAATATTTTAATAAATATAAATACATAAATGTCATTATGATGTGTTTAGATGAGGAATTTTACAAATTCAAGGAATTTTAAATTCTTGATATTTGAATTACTTTGATTTCAATTTCTATCATTCTTAAAATATTTTGTTTGGATGAGTCAATTCAAATTTTTTAAATTTTAAATTGTTAGGTTGAATATGATAATTTGATTTCACCATAATAAAATTGATTTTAAAAACATATTTATATGTTGAGATTTTAAAATTAAATTTTATAAAAATAAATATTAATCCATTTTTAAATATTTAAAAATTTTAAAAATTAATATTAGATAATATTTAATAATTTTAAAAATATTTTTGAATATCCAATAATTAAAAGAATGAAGAGATAAGATAAAATATATAGGTGAAATAAGAAAACAAATATGAGGAATTTCAAATTCTTCCATTTTTGGGAGAATTTGAAATTCTATTATTTGAAGGAATTTCACAAATGCTTGGATTTCAAATTCTTTGTAAATTCTTCATCCAAATAAAACATTTCACCTCGGAGAATTTGAAATTCTTCAAATAAATGAATTATCCTATATAAATTCTCCATCCAAACACATCATAAAGATATTAATGTAGTAGCGAGATAATGGGAGGAATTCATTTTAGTGATAAAACAAAAAGGCCCTTTTTATTTTTTAAAATTTAGGGTGACCCAATTCTCAAGGAATAAGATGATCTTTTGTTTAGTTAACCCACCGATTGGGAATTGTTGTACAGATAATTTTTTTCAAACAACTATGTAGTTCACGCGACGTTTATTCTTATCTTTCTCCAAGGTATGAGACTAATTCCATCATCAAGATTTATGTATGTATAACAAGGTGGTAGTAAATAAGATTAATCGATTCTGATATCTACCAAGTTTAAAGCTCCCCTTTAAAGATCATTACTGTATTAATAGCATTAGCATGTAAAATTGTAAACTCTCACAGATCCAAATTCCATATATGAATGCCAGGAAATTTTCCGAAAAAACTAAGAAATGTAGACAAGAGGTGTTAATCAGTCGCTACAACAAGTACACAATGATACATGTCTTCTATATATCAGATCTTCCTATTTATTGGATATGGAAAAAAAAATACTCTAAATAAATTATTCAAAAGTCAAAATTGCTTTCTGTAATATTGATTTCTTACTAGTAACTAAAAGCTACATACTTATGGACAGCACCAGAAGAAATTGGTGAATCAAAAATCAACTACAAATTTTAGGAAGAACAAGTGAAGAAATAGAAAGAAAAAAGTCGAAAAATGGAGAAAAGAAGAAAAATCTGTACATAGAGAGAGCTTGAAAGAAAGAAGAAATAAGACCAAAAGCTCTGTGTCCACTTATCTGTTATGCAAGGGATTAGGACCTGTGTAGATTTTTCTTTTTTCATCACCAAGAACAGCTTCACTACCACCTTCACCTGAATTCTGTCTAAAACCTTGTTTGGCATGAATAGAACCAGGCTTTTTCACAGACCCACTTTCAAAGTTTTGAACTTTTGCTGACCTATTCGTAGAAGTAGAGAAGTTTTGCAACAGCAACAGAACCAACATTAGGAGAAAAAAACAAGCCAAACTCATGAGCCTCATGGTCTTACTGAAACTGTAGTAGCAGTCTCAAAAGGCCATAGAGAACAAACAAAAGGCAAAGGAGCTTCTTTTTGATCTGATTCAAAAGGGGTATCCAAACAAAGCCTGAAAGAGAAAACAGAAAGGCAACACAATAAGGATCTGATGTAGCTTCCTTTTGGCACCCTTTTCATTCAATGCTTGTTTTTAATTGGATGATGTGGTGTAACCTTGATGTCTGAGCTCTGAAAATGAGGATGGTCAATGTGAGGTGTGAGTCAATATGCATAGGGGTTGGTGCTTCAATGCAGATAAATGTTAATGTGGTGCAGGCTTTGTTTTGATGCAGATTTCAGAGCCCTTTTTTTACTTGGGAAACAACTATGAACCAGAGAGAGAGAAGGGAAAGGAAGAGGGATCTTGCTTACATCTATTGGGAGTACAGGGTGATGCTGTTGCTACAAGTTCACTCATGATGCATACATATATTTACTGCTTGAGAGAAAAGAGTGAGCTCTTGAGTATTTACTGTGTATAAGATGATCATATAAATTTATAAATCATGCTGTATTTTCTTCCAAAGCCTTTGAAGTCGTAATTCAATACACATTGAAAATGATGTTTTCACCTCACTTTTCTTTGCGTTCTCTTTACACTTCTTGTAAATGTCAAGTTACCTAACATGAAGACTGGGAAAATAAAGTGTAAGGTGAGTATTGAAGAATGAAGTGAAATGTTTAGACAAAATTATATACTTGACCCTTGAGTTAAAAACAAAAAATGAAAGAAAGAAAGGCTTAACAAGTATGGAATATTGTGATTATAATGATATAAACAATATTGCTCCCTTTTGTCTGTTTTATGGCAATATGTATCTACATAGGTATGGAACTTTCTGACAGAAAAGCCAATCTTGTATTTTCAGAACTCAGTTGAATTTGCTTTGGTATTGCAGCACGTTCTTCTATTTAATTAATCTCTCCGATCTAGTTCAAGTAATTCATCTTTGTTTAGATTCAAAAATTTTACCATACGTCATGACCAAGTATAATTGCTGGTGAACATGGGAGGATTTAAATATTAAAAAAAAAAAAAAAACTCTTTCATAATTCAGACAAATGAATTCGACATCACATTTTCACTCAAAATTTTAAGACATTAGATTTAGGATTATTTTATATGCCGCTGAAAATACTTAATGTAATATGAAACACTCGTTTACTTGTCCACGAATAATAACTCAATTGAATTTGAATGGTGTGTTGGAGTCTTAGTTCCACATGTGTGGATCTGTACAGAGTAA